CCTTGGTATGATATGTTTGTATGCATATATGGGTATGACGGGGCCCAGTCCCATCTTTATACAGTTGTATATTCTAACAGAGGTCTGTAGACAGTTATGTATAGTTGGATAGTATGTGGCCTTGTTGGCTTCCAGTTTTGGGTATATTGTTGTCATAGCAGTCTTGCCTGCTCGCCCCACTGTATTACGCATGTATATGTACATATGTCTTTTGGAAAGGTTTCCCTCACGTATGTTATTCATGTTTATATCTTAGACGCATACTTAAGGGTGTTCGACAAGTAGGATTTGGGAACCCATCGCGACCCATCGATTTGGGTCGTGACAGCTGGGAGGTTTGTTCCCCTCTGTCTTGTAAGTTGGCTTTGTGAATGATGTTCCATGTCTTTCCGAAAAGATTTCAAGTAGATGACATGGAAGACTGGATGGATCTTCCACCAGGCTGGGATGTTCACCTAGTATGTGGATTTCCCAATGTGTCTTTCGATGGACAAAGGTCTGATGTGTTTTTGCAATAAGCGAGGGTCATGGGTCCTCTCTGCAAACAAGTACCGCTTTGGGATGCTTACCATCACTTTGTATCCTGCTTGGTGTTGGACAAAGTGAAGATTTTGATCAGCAAACCTTGTCGCTCGCTCTTAGGCTTTGACAAGATACTCCGCACTGTCTCCAAATTGTGCTCTCATTCCCTCGAGAAGCTGGCATCTCGAGGAGATTTTGTCATGGTTTATGTATTCACTGTTTGTGGGAGAAGTGGTTGCTACCCGGTAACAATTTCAAAAGCGCTTTTGTTTGTACTAGAGCTCTTTTGTGAATTGAAACACAGTTGAGCAGCATCCAAAATCTTTACCCAATGCTTCTATGATCCGATAGCAAAGTGGAGAAGATATTCCTCCAGCATGTCATGGAACCATTCTATCTGGCCACTCGATTGTGGATGGAAGCTTGAGTTGTGACTCAATTTTGACCCGAAGCACTTGAAAAGCTGGGTCCAAAAGTTTCTAGTGAAGCTTGAGTCGCAGTCACTAACAATGTCTTTGGGCAGGCCCCAATCTTTGACAATGTGAGAGAAGAATAGTCGAGTTATATCTTCTGTTGATATGTTTTGTAGGGCTGCTATAAAGGTTGCATAATTGGAAAACCGATCTATTACAAGCAAGATAGATGCAAGATTTCCGACTTTGGGCAATCCTATGATGAAGTTCAGGGAAACTCTTTCCCAAGGTCTTTCTGAGACATGTAGCGGCTCCAAGAGTCCCGTTTGTGATGAGTAGTCCGACTTGTCCTTGTAGTCTATTTGAAAAGTTTTCATACACTGAGGGGCGTCATCAGTCATTTGAGGGCGATGATATGATTTTTTATTCTTGTTGCAAAGGGTAGCTGGAACCATAAGTTCATGTGTTTTGACTCCCTTCTCAACTCCATGATCGATATGTTCTCAGTGGCCATCTTTATGGGCACGCACAATATGATGCGGGGTTTGGCCTCGTTTTCTCCCATCATCAGGAGCATGTTGGCATATGGTACATGTATGGTGTTGGTTTGCCTTAGGAATTCCAATCCCACTATCAGTTCGAAGTCATCTATGATTGTGACGCGTAGGTTGAATCTTCCTTCGTACGGTCCAAGCTTCATAGGCACTTATTTGGCTATTCTACTTACTAGTTGGGGTGGTGGGTTGACAGCCTTGACACGACCCTTACTCTTTTGCACAACTAAGCCGAGGCATTTCACCTGAGTCGAGGCTAAGTAGTTCTAGGTAGTACCCGTGTCTATCATTGCCCGAATGGGTTTGCTGTTTACTTTCATTTAGACAAACATTAAGGTCCTCTCTTGTTTAGGAGAAGGCCTCTCATCCATCTTCTTTTTCCATTTCTTGGCTATTGGGAATGAGTGCTTCTTAGGGATACCAACATTGGTTCACGCTAAAGTATCCGGGATAGAGCCAACAATTGCAATGAAGGCACCTACTTGTTCTGCCTCGTCTGAGTCGTCATCTGACCCTTCCTCAACAGTTTGATTAGTGTTGATTTGTATATATGGTCATTCATTGTTATGATGTGGCCCACCACAATGAAGGCATTCTGAAGGGAGCTTCCTCCCCTAATTGTTGACCGATGCAGCATTATCACTGCTTGGAGAAGGAGTCTTAGATTTGGTTGCACTTTGATCTCCTCCACTTCTGCTAGAGCCACCATTGCTAGGCTACCTCCTGTTATATCCCCATGGGACAGGCGGCTGGGGCCTATCCTTCTGAATTTCTATATGATAATTCCCAAGGCATTTTTGCAGCTTGGATCACCTTGGGCAGGGTATCTACCCTTTGTCTTTGCATCTCCATATAGGCATGGGGTTTCAGACCTTCTATGAATGCAAAGAGTTTGTCTTTGTCCCCCATATCTTGTATGCTTAGCATGAGCACGGAGAAATCCCGCACTGACCGGGTCTGGCAGAGCTCCCGTAGCTTTCTCCGTGCATTGTATTCAATGTTTTCGGGGAAGAACTCCAGGCGTATGGCTGACTTTAGTTCTGCCCATGTCTTAAAAGTATCTTCCTTGGCCTTGATGGCTTTGTATTTCACTCACCACCAGAGTTTAGCATCACCTCGAAGATACATGGCAGCAGTTGCTACCTTTTTTGCTTCTTCCAACTCGCCCACGTTATCAAAGTATTGTTCCATGTCGAAGATGAAGTTTTCGACTTCTTTTGCATCCCGATATCCATTGTATGGCTTTGGCTCCGGAATTTTCAGCTTTTGTGGCACAGAGGCGACTTTCATAGCACCCTTGATTTGGTTTTTGCCTCCTCGAAGCAGGCTTTGTAGGGCAGCATTGACAAAATTGAGTTGTCCTGTCAGGTTGTATATGGTTTGCTGCATGGAAATCACCCTGTCTACATCTTGTTCTCTATGGGATAAATTCTCGACGCGCTCCTGTTGTAGGTCCTCGAATTTGCCATAAATTTCGGCTACTTCTGTGGCTGCCATTTGCCGGTCTCCTTCAAAGTAACTACTGATGTTTGTTATGTCAACTTTGGCCTGCCGCATTCTGCTGTCCAGGTCATCCAACCTTTGCACTAAGTTGGTTCTTAGTTTAGGCACATATCCACGATGGGTCGTAATAAGTCAACCGTCTCTTCAAGGTCCGCAATGCGATCCCCATGATTTACCATGGTAAAAAATGGTGGTAATGGTAATGTGTTCTCTCATTCGATGTCGAGGCTAGGCCCTAATACCAACTGTTACGCGGCGCTTTCCTGAGGTTCCTTGGAAGGGCAACGAAAGGCTAAGCAACCGATGTCAATGTGGTTGTTGTCCGCCAATTGAGGTCCCCTCCGTACACTAAACGAGATTATTAGTGATGTTGGAGAAAATCAATGTCAAGAGCAATTGCGGAAGCTGAAACGAGAATTGAGAATGAAATCTTGATTGCATTGATGAGTGAAAGCTATTACAAAAGACTACACGGTGTCGAGGGGGAGACACACCAGTACAGAGAAATATTTGCTTTCTTGAATATTTGATTGCTTAATCCCCCCTAATAATGCTTAATAAAAACCAAAGTTACATGAGTTGACCTATCTAAGCTGTAGGAGCCAACTGAAAGTAAATGAAATGAAACTACTCTATATTTACAATGAAAAAGAACTTAGTTTTCTACAACGTAGAAACAGGTCCGTTGGCAGCAACTTTGTCTTTCGCGTCAGGGTCTGCGCGGTGTTGTCGACACGCGCAGCACTAGTTGCGTCTGCCTGTGACTGGGCGCTGGTACTTGGCATTAGGATCTGGGCACGCGGCATTGTCTGTGCATGCCACATTGTCGGTGCACGTGGCACTATTGTCATGCGCTGGCGAGGGCTATCGGTGGGACAATAGAGGCACATGCGCGCTGGTCACTTGGCGCTGCCGAGACCACGGGGCCGACCATGGCGCTGGGTGTTGGGAGGCTTGCCAGGTTGCTATAGGGCACGTCTAAAGGGTCATGGGGGCATGGCTAGAAAGCATCCCATGACAGCTCGCATGTCAATTGTCAAGTAGCCATTTAAATTATGTACGTTTTTTCTCCTTTCATGTAGCCATCAAGGCAAATATATTGAAGAAACCTACTCATAGCTTGTGGGCAAATGTCACCACGATGGAGCTAGATTTAAAGTTTTTGGGTTTTGAATAGTTATTGAATTTGTTTATATATAGAGAGAGAGAGTCTGAATCCTTACGCAAGATTAAATTGTTACTTCGTCCATTGCGACGGTGAAAAATTCCATAAGAATGATGGGGGTTCGTAAGGCAGTGAGGTTGAACGATTCAAGGGACCTGAGGGCTGAGGGGACCAATAACAACAACATGTTGGTTTTATTTAGTAAATTGGAAAAAAACACAGTTGCTTCAATCTGTTCCAAATTAAAGTTTGCTTAAAACTCTTATACAGTCTACAACTGGTGATCGTACAATTCGCCAGCCAATATAAGAATGCCATGGGATGGATAAACTCAATAATTAGTGATTAAAGAATGGAAAAATATTTAAAACCTTTTAAACTTGACACGAATTATTAGTTACATCCTTAAACTATTCGTAATTTTAATTACCCTTTTCAGAACTTGGCAATTGATAACTGTTATCCCCTGGATCCTGACGTGATAAAAAGCATGTATACTCTTCCTTTTGGGTTCATAGGAGTGAAAGATCAAAAATCAGCTCCAACAATAACAATAACAACAACAACAAAAAACTCAGTGTATTTTTATAAATGGGGTCTAGGGAGGGTAGTGTGTACGTAGACCTTACTCCTACCTTATAGAGATAGAGAGGTTGCTTCTGATAGACCCTCGGCTCAAAGAACAGTGGAGATAAAGAAACAAGTGGCAAGAAATAGTAACAACAATGTATTATGGTAACAGTGCGAGTGACACAACAAGTAATAGTAAAGAACCATGAATAAGATAATACAAAAATAGTCCTAGTTCTACTGGTAAGCCTAGGAGGAACACACTACTATCTGTCAACCTACAACTCTAATCCTCAACCTCCACACCTTTCTATCGTGGGTCATATCCTCGATAAGCTGGAGCAATATCATGTCTTGCTTAACTACATCTCCCCAATACTTCTTAGGACTATCCCTTTTGTTCCTCAGACCTGCCATGGACAACCTCTCACACCCTCTCATCGGAGCATCTATGTCTCTCCTTTTCACATGCCCGAACCATCTCAACCTAGATTCCCGCAACTTGTCCTCCATAGATGCCACTTCTACCTTATCCGTAATAACTTTATTCCTAATCTTGTCCTTCCTGGTATATCTACACATCCATCTCAACATCCTTATTTTGGCGACTTTCAACTTCTGGACATGGAATTTCTTGACGAGCAAGCACTCAGCCTCATATAACATAGTCGGTCTAACCATCACTTTGTAGAACGTGCCCTTAAGTGCAGGTGGCACATTCTTATCACGCAAAACCCCCGAGGTGAGCCTCCATCTCATCCACCCCCTCCAATATTATGAGAAACATCCTCTTCATTCGTCTCGTTGTCTTGAATAATAGACCCAAGATACTTGAAACTATCCCTTTTGGGGACGACTTAACTGTCAATCTTCACTTTCACTCTTTCTTCATACATCCCATCACTCAACTTGCAATCCGAGTACTCAAAGCCAAACTTTTCCGAAAATCTTCCGAATTCATCCCGAGGCCCCCCGGACCTCCACCAAAAGTACGAATAGGTCACATAATACTATTCAAACTTAAACCTTCGGAACACTCAAAACAACATCAAATCATCAAAACACCCTCAGATTCAAGCCTAAGGTTTCCAAAACTTCCAAATTCCGCTTTCCATCAAAACATCTATCAAACCTTGTCCAAATGACCTGGAATTTTGCACACACGTCACAAATGACACAAAGACCTACTCCAATTTCCGGAATTCCCTTCTGATCCCTATATCAAAATTTCCACTACCAACCCAGAAAACACCCAAAATTCCAATTTCGCCACTTCAAGCCTAAATCTACCACGGGCCTTCAAAATACATTCTGATCACGCTCCTAAGTTCCAAATCACCTAACGAAGCTATCCGAACCATCGAAAGTCACATCCGATATCTTTTCCACATAAGTCAACGTTTGGTTGACTTTTTCAACTCAAGTTTACTCAAAAGAGACTAAGTGTCTCATTTTTCTACAAAACCACCCCGAACCCAAACCAACCAACCCGATACTACATAATATAACTGAACAAGATATAAAGAAGAAGAAATGGGAGAAACAGAGTGGTAACTCATGAAACGACCGGCTGGGTCATTACATTTTTGCTCCAACAATTCATCATCGCAAATTCGCAATCAATGTTCTTAGTTAAAAATCTTATTTCATTATCTAAAGGTCTCCATTCACAGAAAACATGATTTATGGATGAAAAAAATAGAAAGAACACTCACAATTTTATACTTCAAAATTCACTGCGATCAATCAAAACCTTGTTATACGTCAAAATTCACTGCGATCAAATGCCTCAAATACAGCTACTTATAAGGAATACTGATCAATCAATGATGACATTGCCGCTGGCATATTGAAAAGATTAATTTTCGTTCTTATACCATATAGGAAACTATATTACCAAATATGTTCATAGTTTGCATATTACCTTTCATGCTAATAGTATTTCTACATAATATATACAATGCATTAAATAAGGAATCATTGTAGCTGTAGGATTATTTATTTAGGCGCGCTAGAAAGGAGGAATTAAATATTCTTCTAGATCTTCCACAACGTAAATCACGCACAGTAATAATTATCGTCGGCTTCGTTACAAAATTTCCATACTCTGTTTTCGTGATACACTTTGTTTCAACATTTTCTCTGATTTCACAAATCAAAAACGACAAAATCTTCTACAATTCTTCTGCAACAAATGCAATTATGGCGAAAATACCAATTATGCTACAACTGAATGGGAATTGGGATAGCTGTGGGAGATTTAGAGAATTTCAGGTCGATGGCATTGTAGTCGATGAGAATGCGAGTTATAGTCTACTGATTTCTACAATAGCACAGCAATTAATGATTGATACATCCAAAAAAATTATAGAAATCAAATACATTCTCAACGAGCATTGTCCTCCAATGGAAATTAGTAACGATATGGATGTTCGTGTATACATGGAGACGAAAAAGGAAAACAAAAACTTAGGATCATATTCGCTATGTATAACTGTTCACGATTTCAATATGGAATTAAGTATCACCAATGAGAACACAGCTGCAGGTGTGTGATGTTATTTTTTTCGTTGAAATTCTGGTACAATGTCAATGAACTACACTTTATCTACATTTTATCTTCAAATAAACTACATATATATCAGTATGGATTTCTATAATATCTATAAAATTTCTACATTTATTCTACAATAAAACTACATATAATTTGAAAAATTAATATAAAATACTGAATTTCAACCTTTCTATAAATTATCTACAAAATTTCTACAAACTGGTCATAACAGTATTTATATTTATTTTCATGTAGGTTCGTCTTGAATACTAAAGTTACTTGATATGTCAACATCTCCTGTTATAGAGGAATATGAAAGTATAATAATAACAGATAGTACACCAAGTTCTATTGAATTATGACAAGTATACCAAGACAAGGAAATAATTGTAACTGCAATGAAGCATTATTCTGTCATGCACAAGTTCCAATTCAGGGTTAAAGATCTAGTTCTAGAAGGTATGAACATATGAATAGTCAAAGATTATTATTTTTTTAATTTTGTAGTTTATTTGTAATTTTTTACTTCTTCAGTTTTTCCTTGTGATAATGTTTAACAGAATTGTAGTTGAATTATAGTTATGTTGTATATAGATTTTATAATGTAATTGTTTAAGCTAAAACAATTTTTTTAATCTAAATTTTAACCCATTGTTTAAAATGTATTTATTTTGTAGCTACTGGCTGATATGTGTTGGTGAAAACTGTACATGGCTCTTCAAGGTAACTAGCAAAAATGATTCTGCAATGTTCAAGGTCAGAAATTTCGACAGCCAGCACACATGTTCTTTAATGGACAATATTCATACAACGCAAATCTACTGTCATGGTAGTTGGTAGCATGGTTATTCCAAAATATTCTGATCCTAAGACAATTTACACCCCAAAAGACATTCAATTTGACATGTTGTCTGAACACGGCGTGAATCTAACCTACATGCAACCCTAGAGAGCAAAGGAAAAGGCTTTACAGTTTTTGAGAGGTCATCCTTCAGACTCCTACAGCAAATTGCCTAATTATTTGTATATTCTAGAGAAGACTTATCCGGGGTCTATAGTTAAATTGAAGAAGACAGACGATGACTGCTTCTTGTATGTATTTGTTGCGATTTGTACGTCAATCAGTGGTTGGGAATATTGTAGGCCAGTTGTAGTAGTTGATGAGACCTTTTCAAAGTCATCATACAAGGGAATAATTCTAACAGCCAGTACAATGGATGCAGCAGGTACTGAAGTTTTATTGTAGAAGTATTATAGCTTGCATATTTTTTGTAATACTTGCAGATTAATTGTAGATATATTGTAGAAAAGTTGTAGTTTGTATATATATGTCTTCTTCTGCATTTTTCCTGCAGCCAATTAATTGCTTCTTGCCACATAATGTAGGTACCATATTATCATTGGCATATATTGTTGTTGATTCAGAGAATGACACATCATGGAAGTGGTTTTTTGAGCAATTCAAACTCGCGTATGGTGAAAGACCAAATATGTGTGTTGTTTCGGATCGGAATGAGAGTATCTTGAAGGCAACATCTATTGTTTATCCTGGCATGCCAAATTATTCTTGCATGTGGCATATTTGGACAAATATACGGGCAAAGTTCAAGAAGGGACATCTTAAGTTAAGTGAATTATACTTTGTCACGGCACGGTCATACACACTTGATGAATTTAATGAAAGGATGTCAAAGATTGAGAAGATTGACCCCCATGTTAAAGCATACTTATACTATATTGGCTATCATAGATGGTCTCGAGTACATGCTACGGTGAACAGAACTTGGACTATGACATCAAACATTGAAAAGTCGTTGAATGCTATAACAAAATATGCAAGAGAGCTGCCGATAGTAGAACTATTAGAGTATATGAGGACCCTTCTTGAACATTGGACAAAAGAAAAGTTATTGAAAGCAAAGGGTACATTCACATACCTTGGGTACAAATTTAACAAAGAGTTGGATGATAACAGAACATTGTCGCACAAGCTTAGAGTAAGATCTGATTATTTATTGAATCAAATTCATAAACAGGACAATATAGATATTTTGTAGATATTTTGATTTTAACCGTATATGAATTGTTTTTTTGTTTGTAATGTACTCGTAGGTGAGGGCTTCAATAGACTACATCCATACAATAATAGATGGTATGAAGCGCTATATTGTTTGTCTTGAAAATAAGAGATGTAGTTGTGGGCAATTCCAGCTTGATGAACTACCTTGTCCACATGCTTTGGCTGCTTTAAGACACAGGGATGAGTCTTTTGAACAATATTGTTCTCCTTATTACACAAGGGTGAACCTCTTGCGTACTTATAAAATACCAGTAAATCCTCTGTCTGATGAAAGCAAATGGAATGTGCCAGAACATATAACTGAAGAAGTAGTAAATCCACCTAAAGGAGGGAAAAGGCAGTCAGGAAGACCTCAAAATGAAAGATACAAAACATATGATGAAATAAATTCAAAGAAGTACAAGGTTTCATGTGGCAACTGCGGAGGAGAAGGGCATAACAAAAGATCTTGCAAGAATGCTCCCAAAAAGAAATAAAATTTTATGTAGTTAACAGAACATTTCATAAAATTTGTTGGTTAGTTCTGGATAACAGATTTTGATGTGTAATCGTTGGTATTTTTTAAGATCATAATGTAGTTAGTTCGGATTTTTCTGTATTGAGATAATACTTTCATAGATTGATTTGTTTATGAATGGTTTCTATATATATAATCTAGAACTTATTTACTATATATGGAGTCCTTTACATAGTTGTTAATGTGTTTTTGCAGTTTATCTACAATAAAACTACAAAAAAAATATATTATCTGGAATTTATAGAGTATATACATTATAAATCAGTAGGAAAGTAGTTAAAAACTTAAAATATTGTAGATGAAGTATTGTTTACATTCAAAAAATGAATATAAAAGAAACAAAACACAATGTTAAATATAATCTACAAATTATCTACAAATATAACTACAAAAGTTCTACAATATATGTAGCTGACATAATAGCTAGATTAAAATTCAGGTAAAAAAAAGCTATATGGTGAAAATAATATAGATCAGGTACTTTATACATTCAACAAATTGAATTTAAAAGCAACAAAATGTTTAGTTACTGATTTTTACACATTATCTACAAAAAACCAACAAAATTACTGACTTATTTTTTTGTTGACAGAATAACTGTATAAAATTTTAGTTGGAAAGGATTTAAATGCTAAAAATAATGAAGATCAAGTACTGTAGATTCAACAAGTGAATATAAACCCAACAGAATATATCCATTTGAACTACAATACTGGGTAAGAAAAAAGAAACAAAGACTACTATAATTGTAGTGCAAGTCTGCTACAATTAAAACATAATAAATTGTTCAAAAACTTGTCTACCATCTTTCTTATAAACTAGCATCAACTAAACAATTGTACTACATGTTCCATTCAAAACATTACAACTACTTCTTCTTCCTCTGGACTCGTGTTTTCTCATCCAAAGCTGGTGCACCTTTCCTCCTTGCCAACTTGTCTGTCACCTCACTATCACTAATTGCCCCATGCTCCTGCTTCTTTCTAGCATAGTCCCAAAGTAGCGCTCCATAGCGTCTATGGTGTTGGTCAATATCAGAAAGGTCTTCTGGCGGAATTGATAATTCTCCAATACTAACATACTCTGCAAAGTAAGCAACAAATACACCACAATCGCTGCAAAAGATAAAAAATGTCAATATTTTCAAACCATCAGAAAAAGGGTTAAATGTATAGAAAGAAAGAAGATTTTTGTTATAGTGATCCTTCTTTTTGTTGTGGTATCTCTCCGACGATCCACTGAATGTTAAGAGGGTCGATAACAACTTTCTCAATGTATGCTTTTGTATTCTTGAAGTTGATGTCTTTACGCTTCCCATAAAACCCGGTGCATGACAAATACAAAGGGATAATAATAGAAAACTTGTCGACACAAGATTTAATAATAGGGTGATTGTGTGAAGAGACCATGGAATCATACGCATAAAGACATCTTTCTGCAATGTCAAAAACAACCAACAACCAGTGAAATTTTTCTACAATGTTGGCGGGCATGATAACATAATCAACTTCATCCCATGCAACATTTGCGAGTAGTCTATACCCCAATATATATTCTACTACAATGTCCTGGGGTTTGACAACAGAAAACTTCTTTTATTGAGGAGAATTTTGAAACTTTTCATAAATCTGATCAATCCTAGTCTTGAACACACAATCTGTTGTAGTAATCTGGTCTTGTTGTGGGGGCCATACTTGCCTCTTTTTATCAAGTAATACATTATAACATTAATGTGCTGCAACAAAAACAGATTGCATTTATTCTACAAGTTATCTCCAATTATTCTACACAAAACTACAAACTATAATACATATACAATTAGAATACAAAGCATCTATCATTCAGAAACAAACTATCTACAAAAAATCTACAAATTAAATACATTGAATCTTACCGAGTCATTGAGGACTTATCTTGGGTGTGCCAGGGAAAAGAACCACTCCTTCTTGTCAACCTTTTCAACTCCAAGATCCAACCATGGCTTAATTTGGTTGTCCTTTATAGAATACGGAGCCTTCCTCCTATATAAACAAATAGAAATTAAAATAAAATTGTTGAATGAAGTGGATGTGTAAAAGATGAATACTGAAATAAAAGTGTCAAATTGTGCAACCTAACCTCTTTGGACCTGTTTCGGTACCGTGGTATAACCACTTGTGGAATTGATCCAACAACTCAGGGTCTACATTTTGACCAATAACACTAGTAAGCGGGTGCTTGAGGTGAAAAACTTGAGGTCCAACCGAGGTGCTGCCAGCAGAACTGTATAAAGGGAGAAATAGTGATCGGGCATGCTTTCCCGACTGCCTTGTTCTACCTTGATGCACGGGTGTTGTTTCATCTTGTATAGGCTCGCCGAACTTAACCAACTGGGAGAAGTTATCAGGCAGCTCGAAATCTTCAAGCGTAACCTCCTTCTTCTCACCTTCGGATTCTTCTGAATCACCTACATTCACATACTCTGCCTCTTCACCTACATTGTCATCTTCTAGATTCTGCTGTTCTCTTTGAGCTGCTACTGTCACTCCGTGAATTGGAGATTGTGCATGCATATCTTCCCTCTCTGTAACACCATGTATATATAACTTAATAGAATGGTATAATATTGAAACAAAAAGAAAATATCTCTGAAAACAATTTCATACTTGTATTCTCTTCATCAACTGCCCCTTCAAAATGTGTATATAAATCAACACGTGCTGGATGATTTTCTTCACCAAGTGCACATTCAACATGTTCTATTTTTTTCATTAAAAATGTTAAAATCATACTGGATAGTATTGGCTTGACAATTTATGAAGATATGAAGGTGTGTCATAATATCTAAATAAATCTGTATAGTTGTGCCAATAAGCTGGATTTAATTGTATATTGGGTATATGTAATGTAGACAAATTATAGTTATGTTGTAGATAATTTGTAGTTATTTTGTAGATATTCTGCAGCTAATTGTAGATATACTGGAGATATATTGTAGATACCTATTTTGCTGGGGCTGACCTGCACTGGTTCACCACTATTGAACTGAAATTGCTGATTATTCTTGTCTTTTGGTTGGTCAGTATTTTTTGTTGAACTCCCAGCAAACTGTAAGTTTTATATTAGTTAGGATATATATTTTAGAGGTGACATAAATAGTTTTTTTTAATATGATTAAAATTCAAATGTTACCTTTGCATCAACTTGATGATTTGGAATGTTTATCACCTGCAAAACAGTCTTGACTGAATACTTTATTAGGTCTCGAAGGTTACCTAGTTCTTCAAATACATCTTTCCTAAAATCTTCAAGCTTTTCATCGACCTACATAATTAAAAAAAAATACATAGTTAACTTCAAAAATATGTCTTAAAATACATTAAAAAACAGATACACTATTATATATACATCACAATGCTTTTTAGGACTACATGTTACCTTCTCAACACCACTTTTTAACTTTCTTATTTTATGAAGAATAAACTCTTTTTCCTCTTTTCCAATTGATTCTTTGGGTTCCAATGGAGGAGCATCAACTTTTGGATTCTCAGAAACATGTTCAACCTCTTCAATTGTGTACTCAACTTTATCAGGCAAAGACATCACTGAAAGCTCTTCAAGTGATTCATTTATGTTGGTGAACGGAATGAAGAAAAAAATAAATTAGCTTGTTTAAGGCAGAATATGTATATAAATTGTAGATATTTTGTAGATTATTTGTATTATCATAAATAAAGACCATTTACCTTCATCCATTCATGCTTGATCATTTTGTCTTCAATTGCAGCTAACCAAATCTGACCCTTAGTAGCTGGCCAGTTTAGTATGTGAGGGATTGAATTAGAAATCTTTGTAGCTATATCAATATTGACGGAGGAGCAACACTCATACAACCATACTTGCATGGCTAGTGGGAATCCCCGAATGGGATAAGAATGAACGAAAGGATTTAACTTGTGCCTAACTAATTCAATCAATTGTCTATAAGACTGAATTCCCCATGGAAATGACTCGTACTAACCGAATTCCACCAAATAAAATCTAAAATGATCTACCAACCCAATATGGTCTCTCTCTGAAGGACAAAAGAAGAATTCTATGAGATATAGAATACATAACTTTACTGCATCCTCACCATTGACCCAGCTTTTGTTGGTTACTATCTGTTTTAGGTATGTCTTCTCTACTTTTAACTTGTTTGGAAAGTAACTGCTCATTATCTTACTAACATAATTAGGAGTGTAACCAAAGTCTGTCACCTCAGTATGACGTCTAAGACCAGTTATTACTGCAAAATCTCTCAATCCAAAATTTAACCTCTCACCTTTTAACTCAGCTGAAAAATAGGAAGCATCAGATGATTTCAATTCATATTTCATAAGAAGAAGAATAGCTTGATTTTGCATGCATAAATTGGGAAATGATAGTAAATAATCAAAGCATGTCTTATTGAATAGCTTCAAACCATTTGGAGACAAAAGCGCTATAATTTGGCTAGGAATGCTTGGATCACATAATGTCTGGAATCTAAGCACTCCATAATCAACATTATGGGATGCAAAAAAATGTCTATTCTGCAAAATTCAACAAATGTAATCTAACATTAATACAGTAATTAAAAAGCACTAATACATTTGTATTTTATCTACAAAATAACTTCAAAAATATACAATATAAAAACAATGTTAAACAGATCAACATATCTACAATTAATCTTCAAAATTAAGAAAAATAATCTCACATTATTTCAGTGCTTAAAAAAGATAGATACATTTGCAATTTATATAAAACATTTCTACAAAAATTTACAAAGCAAAAAAAACACAGATTATGTAGATTTTTAACAACTAAAACAGACGAAATAAGAAGTGAAGAAATGACTAAATTCTTACCTTCACCAATGAGTGTTTTCAAACATTTTTAGGAGACTTAACACTAGACGCCTTTTTTGAATTTTTCTTCTTTTTGGGAGTTTTTGAACTGGGAGCCACCTTAGCTTTCTTTCCGGGATTACTGATAGGCATATATTCTACAAAATCATCATCGAACACT